CACAGCTGATGCCATTTACGCGTCACAGCGCCTTATCAGAGTCGCATGCTCACCTCTTATGTGAATATTGTCTCAAGAATATCACCAGTCAATAGGTCCCATGTGAGTCACTCACCGCATGTTCACAGAATGGTGATCGGGACTAACTGGCTCTCTACTCTGATGCAGAAATCTACCCATGCTGCACTGCATTATGTTTCTATCTAATATGAATATGTCTGATCATTGGCATGTTGAAGTGACTGAACTCTCACACTCTCGCAGTTCCACTTTGGTAAGTTGGACGGGTGTAGTATAAATCACTCTATATTTAAACTGTGACATATTGGTATCTTGCTCTAAAATCTATTTTTATACTCAACCACTGTATGTTGATGACTAGCTGCTGTTCTTGGCTAATCAAAGATATCGCTCACCGTACCAGATTGTGTTCTTGCTCACTTTATATAAACGCCATATGAGGCTTTCATCAATCTGACAAATGCAACAGTGGCGTGGAATGCCATTAGTAAGTATTTTTATACACACACAAAGGCTAGTTTGAGCTTTAGACATCTAGATAAAAGACAACAATTAGCAGTAAGGAGTTGTGGGCTCAAACTGTTAATTAGCTAATTGTTTATTTACTGCTGACTCTAACAACTCTTAACAATAGTAGACAACAAGGCCGTAGCCTCAAGTTCCCTGTTTTAATGAGCGCAAAGCTAATACCAACCCAACCATTTTTATTTTTTTTTAAAGGCAGAGAAGTAACAGGGTTTCAATGAATGTGTGTTCAGCAATTCTTTAAATGCTTGTACATTTTACGTATTATAACAAATCCTCTGAGTGTGCTGTTGCTCCGGGCTTAAGCGCTCCAGGCTGCACGAGGTCCCACAGTGAAATCAAGGAGGTGCACCTGCTCTGTGAGGTCCCCTCTTCTCCATCCAGCCATGTGTCTCGTCTTCTTCACCTCCTGTAAACCTTTCCCGCTCCTCCCTGCCGATTATTCTCTTCAGGCTACTGTGTCTATAATGAGCCTTTCCTCCTACCCCCCCCCCCCCCTCCCCCCCTCCCCCCCCACCCCCCCCCCCCCTCCCCCCCCCCCCCCTCCCCTCCCCTCCCCTCCCCTCCTCTCCTCTCCTCTCCTTCCCTCCTCACACTGTGTGCAGAATTGGAGAAGCTTATCGCCTAGCAACCACAATTAAAGTACAACAAGTCAGTGGCGGTAGCAGCAGCCGCCGTCGGAGTAAGCTTCACAAACCTTCGTGTGACCAACGGCTTTTGACAGAAAAAAGAAAACGGAAAATAGAGAGAGTTCGACGGGGAGGGGAGGGGGGGGGGGGGGACGGCGCTGCAGAGTTGAAGTTGGACAGGTGGACGGCAATTAGAGCCTCCACTGGAACACCGCAGTGAGGACTTTGGGTTTCTTTAAAAACAAAGAGAGGAAAAAGAAATCAAGGGAGAGTGGAGTGTCGTTCTCCGACTGGGTTCACCGGGTTGGACTCGACAGGTATGTGTGTGAGTGCTGGAATGAATGGACACCAAGTGAAGGTATTCTGCAGTTTTGATGGTGTTTTTATGTGTGTATGACCGCTTGTGTTTTGTTGTTTGCTCGTTAGTCAGTATCTGAAGAGACATTATGTTGAGAAGATTTAGCATTTGAGGCTTTTGGCACGATTAGAGCATAATATTTATGACACAGCGCTGAGGGAATGCAAAGTTTGTACCTGCTGTAAAGGTATTCATTCACACACCTGATCCATACACACACTAAGAAAGATGTACACTTGAGCCTGCGTGTTAAAACTGTAATCTGATGAATCATTTTAGAACTAATTGATTCTTATGTATTTATTATTATTAGAGCCATATATTCCCTTCCATATTTTTTCATGAATTTTTATTTTTATTTGTTTGAACATAATTTACAAATATGTACTACACCTGATGTGTAAAGTCAGGTAATTGTCTCCTATAGGTTCCTCACTATCATTAGGATAATTGACTGAGTCGCTGTAATAGTTGTCAGGTGTGATGTCTCCTGCCACCATTGGCATGGAAACGTGGGTTTTCTTTGGCTCAGGGGGATTTAAGGACTGAGTATCGACTCATAAATGAGAAGGAAAGGTGTTGTTTGAGCTGAGATTGAGCATGAGCTGTTAGATCTGATTTGAAATTTTGCTCTCATTTCCGTGTGATTGTCAGCGAGGCTTTCTGTGCACACGTGGACAGAGATGTGAGGGGATGCAGGTGGCGAGTTGCAGGAATACCGTGAAGCAAGTTTGTGAGAGGCAAAATGTCTCTGATGGTATTCACAGCATTTTGATTGAAGCTTGATTCCATAACCGTTACATAAAGTATATTTCTGTTTTGACATGAGGATATTGCGCATGACACACTGTCACATGGAGAATGCTTTTTTATATTTGTTGGTTCAGTCATAAGTGTTCATACTGGTCATAGATTTGAGGTTCTTCATATTAAATCCTAATCATCCCCCAGGATGTAGTCATGCTGTGAGACATTGATACAGCACGATTCCAAATATGGAGGTGGGCATTTAAAATGACAAGAGCATCAGAGTAAATGCTTGAAAATGAGTTATCAAATAATCAACTACAATAGCATTGGTATTCTTGTGAAGTGGACAATTTTGACAAAATTTCTGCCGAAAGAAATTGAGTCACAGCCGGCTTATTCATGTCCATTACCTCAGCATGAAAGGTGGCCCCACACAGGCCTGTATTTCAAATGACGGACACCTGCCTGCCCTCATCCCCATGGCAGAGTGGCTCTGCCTGAGGGCACTGTGGGGGAGCGGGGAGGTGAAAGGTCAGCCACTCTGTATGGCCTATCCTGTCCCCACCAGGAGGATGAGACTCGTATGCAGACTTAAACGCACAGAGATGTCAATCACTGGTCAAAATGTCACTGCGCTGCACACATAAAAGCACACGCGCGCACACACACACACACACACACACACACACACACACACACACACACACACAAAACGCCAGAGAAGAGTCACTTGCTGGTCAAAATGTCACTGCACTGCTCGCATAAAAGTGCGCACACACACACTCAAAACATCCGTTTTCTCTGATGTTCAGTTTTAGATTCAAAGGGAGGGCATGCAGGATACACTCACTGTACTGTACCACTGAGAGTCATAGAAAAGGAGCTCGCACCAAAGTCACTAGTAGATGTCCATTACTGATAGAATTGGGCCCTATTTTCATGGTGGCGCAACAAGCAGCACTCCGAACACCTTGACACATAGAGTGGTCGGTTGTAAATCTGTATTCTGCTGATTGTAGCAGGTGTGCTCGGAGACACCCACACAGTTGGTGCGACCAAGACCTGCCGCTTTTCCCTTGTGATATGACATGAGATATGGGTAGAACATGCTGCCTGCACCCAAGCCTCCCAGTAACAGTGCTTGGCTAACAGGCAACCTTGGCCACAGTTGAGAATTACAGGTTATGTGATGCAATGTGGCCTGTTTTCCATACACAATCATTACAAAAGGGTGTAAAAGTATAAATGGGGGCGCCACCTTAAAACATGGTATTCTCTGACTACATCCATGCCTTTACCACCATCTCGCTAAGGGCTTTGGTGTCAAACTTGACCGAAGTTGGTTCTTCTACGTAGGATTGGCAACCCCAATGCATGCTGGGACCATCTTCATTTGGCAAATTAGGGGTTTTGGAGTCAGTGAACATTTTCATATCAGAATACTTTGTATTGTATTGTATTTTGGGTCATATCAGGAGCATGAATTAGCCTCCTTGCCAAAGAAGAAAATGCAAAACAGCAACAGAATTTCACTCCAAAAACGTCTCCAGCCCGAGGCCAGCGATGTGTGCGTGTATGCGCTGAGTGTCTCATGTGTGCGCTGCTGTCTGTCTCACCAAGTGTCACCGCTGAGGGCTATACACCTCCTGAAGAGGCGGACAGCAGGGGGATACTGTGTGTGTGTGTCTGCACTGTGTATAGGTGTGTGTGTTTCTGTGTCAGTGGGTGTTCTGTGCACGTGTGCCTAATAAGTTGGCTCTGCTGGAGGGATGTATTCAAACGGCCCCTGTTGAGCAGAGTTGGCGGGAAGTATTATTTCCGCATCTGGAGTTTGTGAGCTCGGTTGTCTTCATCCTCTGGGAGATGGCTTTTTTTAAACTTTCTGAACTCTCAGTCGCTGCTCTTGCCTCGTCTCACATTCACATCTTGCTTCCTAAGCATACCTGCACATGCGCTTGCACACCACATTTTGGTAAATGCATGTGAATGAAATAGATCCACTGGATATACGTGTTTGTAATTGTACTCAGGGAGCTAATTATTTTCCACCGGCGATGAGGTCATTACCCATGTAATTGGCTCTCGCGGGGCTGCATTGATCACTCGATTGGCGTTGCCAGATTGGTGGGAGGGCTGAGAGGTGGATTACTGTTGGTCACCTCGACTGTAATAAACCAAACTCAATTAAGGGGGGGAAACTGATATCTCCGTCTTCGTGTTTGTGTAATTGGATTGTCTTTTTAGGTTAATTCACTTGCTGATTCTTTGATTAAGGGCAGCACATTTTAACTAAATGTTTTTTGTTACAAGCTATTTTCAGGACAGCCAAGCCCACGTGAATATAACAAAATCGAAGGGGAGTTGCCTACCCGTGGTTTTGCAGCATGCTCTCTATAAGATAGCATTTAAAGGGAAACTTAGACGATTTTCAACAGGCTTTGTGTCGCTGCATTGGGAGCAAATGAGCAAGTTCGACTTCCCTTCGTGTTGCTTGTTTGCGAGTGTCCGCTGGATGACCCAAAACAGATGAGCAGGGAGCTCTGGCCATGGGTTAACATGAAGGAAAGCCGAACATCGCTCATTCGCGCAAACCAGCCAAATTGTAACGATACAAAGCCCGTTGAAAACCAGCAAAGTTCCCCCTTCAGGATGCAGCACCACAATAGATTTGTCTTAGGTGGTGATTGTAATGTCTGCTTCTCTTCTCTTATTTCCAGAGTCTGGGCTCCGCTGACCGAAAGGAGAATCAGCGCAAAAAGTAAGTCCCATCCGTTCACCTGCCTGTGCATCCCTCCATCCATCCTTGCCTTCCTCTCTGGAAAACAGAAAAAGAGACCAAAGACTCGGAGATGGTTGAACATCACAGACTTTATGTAATCCCAACAGTGGTTGTTGCCACCATCGTCTCGTGCTACGGTGACAGCAACAACTACATGTAACATTAACAGTTCATATTGAAGGTCATGATGATGATTCAAAAAGTCAAATCAGGTCCATTTTATTTATATAGCCCAATATTACAGTAAGTACAGCATACGACACCCTTTGTACTTTCTGACACACGCTCTGTTTCAGAAAAAGCTTGACCTTTATGTCCCCAGTTTTATATTTTATTATAGTTCAGTGAGAAGCCACCGTGTTTCTAATCTGCTACTGTTAAATTTGCCCATTACTACTATGCTGTTAATGCATACTCAACACAGACTGTATGAACAGCTGAACCACTGCTGGGATTATGTACTCTCAATCACTTACTAACTATTGGCTTTGATATTTTTCCTTGGGTGCAGGTGTTTTCTTGAGTAAGATATTGCTTTTAGCTTCCTACTTCAACTGTCAATGCGTGCGTTTCATAGCAACTGGCCTTTTCCATCTAAACATGGAGCTTTGTAAGAGTATGGATACTGTGTGATGTCCAAAAAATACCCCCTTTTGCTTAGATCTTTAACAAAAAATAGAGAAAACGTAATCAGGAGAGTTCACTCGACTTGTTTCCCAATGGTTGGCCTTTGTCTGTCTTCCTGTGTCTAAGTGTATGCTGTGTTTGAAGCTGAACTCCTAGTTGTCCATACATAAGTCAATGACAGTGGGACATGTGCTGCATCATATACTTTAGTGTTTTTTGGTCATATACGATGTCAGGTGTACTGTCACAGTGAGCTCTCAGTGTGCCAGAAAGGGAGACATCTGTTGCCAGGAGACAAGACTAGTATAGCTAGTGCGGGATGTCACGTAACAGAAGTCTTCCCCAGAAATAAGGGAGGGAGGGAAAGAGAGGAGTGTTCAGTGTAGCCCGACACACAACATTTATTTATGCCCGTAGAAATAGGTGAATAAGCATAACTGCACAGATGCAGAGGGGTAAATGAAAATAAAGTATGCACTTAGAACATAGATTTTCATGTTTTTCATCTCAAAAGGATCGTTAACCCTGAGGAGTAAGTCACATGTGTACGTGTGTGTGTGTGTGTGCGTTGGTTTGCTTCCTAACTGCCTTCGGCTCAGCTTTCCAATTGGAAGATGATTGCTGAAGGCTATACCTATACCTATACTAATAATATATGTCAATAACATTTGGTCTCAAAATGTCAACAAAATGATTGCATATAATCAGTAATTTCGTACAACTCTGTGCAGATAAATAGTTGCTTATTTCTGTCCCACAAACTGAAGGAATGTATCGGCCATCTTTCTTTCATTCATTCTCTTAGTCTGGACTTTGAGCCGTTCCTCTTCTTACCTATGGATGGAATATTTGAACTCATTTTTCCTCCAGATGGAGATGATTATTCTAGCCTCTTTTCTTTGTCCCACTGCAGCTCTCTTTTTACGTGCAGCTAATCACTGGATCATTTACAAGTGGTTCAGACTCCCTCTGTCAGGCTTGATACCAAGTGTACTTAAAGGTCTCACATTACACCTATTTTGATATCTTCATGCACACCGAACTCAGAGGCAAAGGTGTTTCCTACACAAAGCAACCAGAGAAGAACTCCATAACTCAAGAATTCAGAAGCTAATTGTGACAATTTCACATAAATGTCTCGTGATGACGTTTTGGACAGACATGGATGGAAACTACAACATGACTCGTTGACTTTACCTTTTCAAATTGGGAAGTGCTGACTGCTCATGAAAGCCTGTGCGCTATAAGTAAAACCTAGCTGTCTTTCCCACTTATGCTGGGTGCACCCTGTACAGGAGAGAAGGAATAATGGACGGATGGGGGCGTGGTTTGCACTTTTCATGGAGCAAGGGATTTAGGCACGGATGTCAGGGAATAGAAAACTTGATTAGACTAATTTATTCACAGGAGCAGGCCACGTAATTGTTCTCATATGGGAGTGACGTACCGTAGGTGTGTGTGTGTGTGTGTAAGAGGGAGATTTGTTCTCCAGCAATGTGCTTGACTTATTGTTTGGATAAAGCACATGTAAAAAAACATGTATACCTCTTGCAAAGAGGTATACATGTTTATAAGATGACATAACCGTCAGGCAAAATACATTCCTCTCCCTCTTTCCACTGCGTCTCAGCCCCAGCTGATGTTTCACCACCACGTTCCTCCACAGCTGAAGGACTTTCCTCCCAGCGGTAGCTGGTTGTTGCCGTGGTTACAGGTGACACAGGAGCCAAAAGCCCAGCGGCATTTAATTAATGGCTACATCAGGCATTTCATTCAGCGTACAGTACACGAAGTCCTGAATGGGGGTGCGAACAAACGCAGCGTCTCATGTCTCCGATGAGAGGACCTGAGATGAGAGAGGAAGCCGACCAATGGGCTTCACCTTATCTACCAGCCACAAGCAAAGATGCTCACATGCAAAAGAGCATTTACGAGAAAACAAGTTGTATTTGCATCGTATTGAAATAAGCAGAGAGGAGAACAGAGAGAGAAGAGAGCGCTGCAGAGACAGTTTCATTGTTCATCAATCAAGTGTACTCACTACATACATAGTGGTCTATATATTGAGTTTGCGGTTCTGTAGTGCTGTTGTGAGAATTATTATTCCCTTTATAGTGGACTTAAAGTATCCCACAATGCATCGTGAAGTGTAGTGTAAAACCAGTGGTCGCTAATGCTCAGCATTACATACCATCAGGCATTGCGCTGACGGCGAAATGCCACTCGGACAAGAGGAGAGAGAACAGCATGACCGAGACAAATCCAAGAGTTGTGGCGCCGAAAATAATATTTTTAATGTGAACAGAACATCACACCACAAACCGGCACAAAGTACTTTGTATTTATTAATTTGGAAAAAATAAGCTTACTTAAGAAACAGCTTCAAAGCAGAGCAAGTAATTCATTCAGGGGGAGGATTTACGCAGATTCGGATGACGTCAGACTCACATCACTATTGCATGCTCACGCTTGTTGGCGAACAACTACACAATTGATTCAGAGTTTTATCTGTAAGTACCCTGATGAGAAGAGAGAATGCATTTCTTACTATAGTTCAAAAACGATAGGCTCGGCAGAGACTGGTGATCGTTTTTGTGCAATAAATTCACGGCGATGACTTGGAACAAAACATTTTTATGTCTACCAATCTATCCTCAACAACAACAGACAACAAGAAATATTTATGGCCGTGGACTCTTATTTCTCATCCAATAATCTGTCGTACAATCATCTTGTTGCTCGCTGCACTGACGGGGCTGCAGCAACGATGGGCAAAAACAAAGGAACGTAAGAGCCGATTGAAGGAAAAAGCCCCTTCAGGCTACATCACCAAGCATCGGCCAGTGAAACACTTTGGAAAGGCTCATCCTACTAACAGGAGACTGTTTGACCGGCTGTGTCAGGACGAAACGCATCAAACTTTGCTGTTACACACAGACGCTTATGGGTTTTGTGGAACTGCAGGAAACAAATAAAGGAATTCTTACGAGATCACTATCGACCACTGTGAGGAAATCAAGTCCCATTTTCCTGATGCTTATAAAATGATTCTTGGTTGATGCACTTTTCCAGCCTTGAGGACGTGGAAATACCTCGCCTGTGGAGAGGAGATTGCTGACCTTCAAGCCGATTCGGAGTTGAAGAAATATTTCCAGGAAAACAGATGCAAGACGTTTTGTGAAGTCAAAGGACATGCTGTGAGCCGACAGTTTAAGGGTCAATCTCCCATTCAGCACTACGTACCTGTCTGAGACAGCCTTTTTGGTAATTTGAATGGATTCAAGAAGGGGGGGGGGGGGGGGCTGGATGGGCTCCAAGGAGAAAGGATAGGAACCACTGCCCTATCTCATCCACCAGAGGGACAATCCAAGGCACATTCTGGCAGAAGGATAATAAGGATTGAGGGTTCCCGCTGTCTGACCAACGTTGAAACACATTCCTTCCTTTTTTTCCAGCCTTTTTTCTTTTCACCTCACTTTTTTCACAGGGTTTTGAAATCCCAGTGTAAATACATATTGAGGAGTATTTACAATAGTGGTATTGGTGGTAGGAGAGGGAGCTAACTCAGCGGGCCATAGGAGACTGCCGCTGGCTGAGTGTGTGACTATTTGTCACACACAGTTCATCTAGTGTGTGTCTGAGCACACATGCTCTCAGCAGCAAAGTGTGTTTGTACCCGTTCTCTTGATCCAGTGTGCATTTCACAAATATGAAGAGTGTATAATTGTGTGAATATTAGTAGCATTTAGTCCTCCTTCTGTGTGTGTGTGTGTGTGTGGTTTTGTGCGTGTGCTTTTTGATGTGGCTTGGCTGCAGCAATGTTGGGTTGTTTGAGAACTCCCCAAGAGCAGGCTGCCAGGCCAAAGAACTGAGCGGGCAGAGACAGCCATTGTTTTGGTAAGGCATCTTGGCCATGATTGTGTGTGTGTGTGTGTGTGTGTGTGTGTGTGTGTGTGTGTGTGTGTGTGTGAGAGAGAGAGATAGAAATGCAAAGGGAGAAAGGGAGCTTAATTTGGACTACTTGCTATGCTCACTGCTCTTCTAGCAGTGTATAGCCTTTTCCATTCTGGCTTTAGATGCAAAAACACGCACACACACACACTCCCTCACACACACACACACACTTAACAACGCAACATACAAACACTTTATCCTCACAACCGCATTACCTGAGGGAGTTCTGAGGGAAAAGTTTGTTATATTATGTTGCTCAACAAGTTGGATCCTTTACCAAACATCTCCCTCCACATTTGAAACCACACATCAAAATTCGATCAGCTTTCCCAAAAAAAACGCTCAACACTTTGGAAGCTCATAGTTCGCTGGCTCACGGCTGTACAAATATGATTTGA